CATTTTTTGGAAATTTAATACTCTTTTCCAATATTTTGTCATCCCAAGAAAGTTCTTGGGGCAAAGGCCTTCCATATTTATTTTTGTTTAATCATTGCCCAATCGTCTTTTCTTTTAGATCAAAAGTAGTAAGGAAAACTTTTTGACAAATTTGAAGTTTCTCTCCATCTTTCTTAGGTATGAAATATTCCTTCGAAAATAAATTGATGTAATGGTATTAGATTTCTATGTTGGATAATGGAAACTAATCTTTTATAAAACAGTTTTTCAAAAACTAGAACATATGTATTTTTAGAAAAAAATTACGTATAAAATAGACATAGTTAGAGGCAGCGATACAGGTCTATACGACGAAACTTCTGTAGGTGATTTGCCAGTCTTTAGTTTCACAATGATTTCAGTAATGTTCCCGAGATGAGATCGAAACCCGGTGATTTTTTGTTACTGATGTTATTTATTACAGATTTAAACTCAACTAAAACTGTTAACGGAACTTCTGCCTCATCTTTTTGAACATAGCTAATATCTTTTTCGTCGCTTTGTTTAAAGAACGGTTTAAAGATATTCTATAAGTGAAGGATTTCTTGATTGGCGGGTCTTAAATTTTTTTAGTTACCTTCCATACTGAATAATTTGTTTCTTTATTGTTATCCAGTTCTCTTAGGTATTTACAGATGGAATCATTTTTAAATTCAGTAATCGGCTTCTTTAATTTGTTGTTAAGTTTATTAACTCTTTCTTTATCACCCGGATATCTGTGATTTGCCACTTTTTTCTGGCATTTTTTTTTTCTTTAAATAATTGAACAATGGCGAGTGGATAACTCTTTTGCACGTTCATTTCGCGAGTATTTTCGATTGCAGCTTGCTGTGTACAGCATTAAATTGCTCAACTTCTTTGTCTAATTGTACATATGTGTGGATTTAGTACTCATGTGATGAGAAACATATTAATTTCTCGTTGAATACTTCCCAGTTGGGATTTTCGTTTATTAATCGGGGAACACCTTCCCTCTCAATAAAGCTACCGCTGATGGTCAGTGTTACAGGAGTGTGATCAGAATTCAGATGGAAAAAAGGTTTAATTTCCATAAAATTACTATTGATTCCTTTTATAACAAAAAAATCCAGTAGATCAGGTATTTTGTTGGGATCGCAAGGCCAATATTTGGGAGAGCTTCTTGATAGGAATTCACAATGTTTGTCTCTTGCGGCGTTAAATAGAGCCCAACCCCTAGGAGTCATAAGTCTCAAACCGATTATGAAATTGTTATCGAGATGACTGAATATATCTGCAAACAGTTCTTTATGGATGGAAAAACCAGGTCGAACGTAAATTGGTGGTATTTTGGGTATTTCATTTTTAGTTTGAATACAAATTGTTGTAAGTTGAGTACTTGATGTTTCAATTCTGTAATATTCGTACGATAAGAGATTTCCTTTGACGATTATTGCTGTTCCTCCATGAGCAACATCATTTGGTAGTGGAATAAAGTAGAGGTTATAATTACGAATATTGACATATGACTGATTAATAAGATGCGCCTCGGATATTAAGCAAATATCAATATCTTAGTAATTTAAGAGTACTTCCAGCTCTTTTAAGTAGTCACTTTGCATGTCATATGGTTATTCTTAAGGCACGAATCATTTTTTACGCTTATCTTTGAACTTAAGCTGTTTGAGTTTATTTATTTCATTTAAAATATTTTCGTAAGACCTTTCCTGTTCATCCAGTTCCTTAATAAGGTAGCTCAGCAGCACCTTGATCGAATCTTTCCTATGATTCTTCACAACTTGTGAGTACGTCTTTTAAACATCCTTGTTATGACATGGGGTATTGGATATAGTAACTTTAGTTTCTTTTGACTTGTCTTCTGAAACGCTATTTACCTTTTTTTCTGTGTACAAAGGAGAGTCTTTGTCGGATAACAGCTTAAGTCTCCTTTTCTGTTGATCTCTTGCAAATGGACAACCCCTATATTTCGCAGGATGTTCCCAATGCCAGTTGGTACTTTTAGCAGTTATACTTTTATCCATTTCGCGTTGTTGAGATGGATGATTCTGGGCATATTTAACACATTTATAGCTTCTGTTCCAGTTATGTTTGGGTATGATTGAAGGCTTGGAATCTTGTACACTGAACAATTCTGCTGACCTTTTTGCAGATAGGTTCTATTTGAACTTTTATGGCCATAATAGAAGTAATGTTGCAGATTTTTTTTACATCATTATCCTTGCTGAATGTGAGAGTCTGGAGCCATATTTTGATTTGTGATAGTGTCTCTTTTTATCATATTTACTGTACTATAGCTTTGGAGCCCTCCATCAATAATTATTCAACAATGTCCTTTTCTTAACAAGACGAATCAAGTTCACTTGCTACAGCCGTAATTCTCCTGTCGAATTTATCTTCGTAGGTGTGGTATTGTATTTGGAGTTGATTGCGTTTTGCAGTTAGAGCCCTGTAGGAGTCACTGTAAGAAGTATTAACCTTCCAGTTCTGATTTTTGATTAGGGTAAATTTACATAATTCTTTAATGGCATCTGCTGTGATTTCCTTTGCGAAATCAAACGTTTCAATTCTTGAAACATAGATAGGTGGTGGAGCATGTTTATCAATTTTGACTACTTCCATTGAATTTTTATTAATCTCAATTTGTTCGTTTCCTTTATAATTTTTGCTGTTCTCCAAATTATTAACAGATGAGGTTTGAACTGTGTTTGATATATGATCGTTTTGCCTAATGCTCGTCTTTAGTTTATTTTTTTTTTTATTTTTTTTCCGTATTTATACAGACACCTATAGGCTTTTTGGATAATCCTTTAGCCTTTCTTGTTTTAGTAAGTTTTGAGTTAGGATTTATTATATCACTTTCAAAGCCAGGGAAGTCTTCGTCACTTATACTAAGAGATATACATACACTTTCGGTTTTTGATGGTTCAATGTAATTTGTGCCATTTGTATTTCTTTTTTCGTAGCTCAAAGCTGCTTTCAATGATGTATTTTCATCTCTGCCCAAAAAGTTATTTACCGGCGTTGCCGACATCGAAGTTGATTGAAGCAGCAATAGTTGGTCCCCTCCAGAATCCGTGGGGTCGAACTCCGTAGAGGCTGGATTTGCCAAACTATTTGGCGTACCACCTGGAGTATACAATCCTTTTGTTTTTCCCATTGCACCTTAATCTGCGGGTAATCCTCGTCAGGAGCCCTAAAAAGGTGCTATCAGCCGGGCGAACTAAACCTCGGTTTTTTTTTAACGAGGTTGTTGCTCCTTTTTTATTTGGGCTTGGAATATTTGAACTGGAAAGCCAAAAGTTATTTGAACTCGTAATATTTATTGTGTAGAACAATTCAGCAGGCTTATTTTTCGGTATTAAATTGACGTATCTGCAATTTTATGAAAATTTTGATAACAAAAAGTAATTAGGTATGCGAATTACTTCAAAGTATCAACATAATCTTTAATTGCCATTTTTAGATAATCTACGTTATTTACTAACTGTTGCAAATAAAAATCATATTTATTATTGTTTTAAAAACAAAAAAAAACTCACATCTAATTTATAAAATTGCTCGTAGGAGGGAGGAGATGCTGGGAGGCTTTGCTCTAACGGTGGCGGAGTTACGGTCTTCTGGTCCTCACAAGTTGCTTGAGTTCATCAGGAGGGTAGGTCTCGAGCGTGTGTTGTAGGGCATGCCCCACACTCGGGTGGGGGCGCACAATAGATCCTTATACGTGGTCGCGGTGCATTGTTGCCCCCGTTGCACAAATCTACAATCTACAATTTATAAAATTCCAACAATGACAATGTTATTTAGTATTTTTAAGTGACACTTAAATTACAGCACACTAATCTTTAATTCACCAAAAATTTTTGTTTGAGAGCAGATACTTTTTTTTTTTTGGCGCTTTTTCTTGAAATATTTCGTATCAACTCAAAAACAATTTACAACAAATATTTTGACATAAAGTAGATGCGTTAAATCATTTCCACGTTAAATAAATCGTCAATATGTAGATATGTTAAATCGCTTTCAGTTCGACGATATAAGGTTATCAATCTCTTAAATAAACACAAGTTGAAACCGTCAATAATAGGCAATTTGCGGCTGACTTAATACTTTTCAGGTATTGCATAAACACAAACAGAAGAAGAGCGATTTTTCGCGGCGAATACATATAAAATACGCGTAATATATACTTAAAAAGAAATATAAATGAAAGTGGTCACAGAATAAAGTGAAATTACCGCTGCTAATTTCACTGACGGCAATAAAATAGCCTAAAATCTTGTTTTTATGTACACCATCTGTTTTCATGTATGTTTGACATCATAAAAAAATACTAAACACCTGATTGACAACACAGAACAAAATACTGTAAAAATTTGGCAAAAATTATTTTGTTTTATTCAGCTCTTGTTCTGTGTTAACAACGGAAATTGTTCGCAATTTTCGTTTTCTGTTTGATTATGTTTTTAAACTTAAATAGTCGGTTGCTTCAGCCAACTAAGAAAACTCTCAAAAAATTTGTTGATTGCGCGGTTATTTTAACTTGTTTATGGATAAAAAAATTTCTCATTCCTTTCTATTTTTTTTTACATATGTAATTCGTTATAAAATTGAACTTTTTTCTTTAAAGTAAAAGTATTGCAAAGGACATTAATTTGTTTTGTATATTTTATTGGGAATGCAAAATAATTTTGCCAAAGTTTTAGAATGTTACACACATACATAATGTAAACAAAATAAAATAGTATTTTTGATTAAAAAGCAGTATATATATATGCATGTACCTTATTTTAATTGAATGAAAACAAAAATTACTTCAAAAAGCAAATCAACACACAATCCAAGAGTTTTAGTTTTTTTAATATGAAAAATGAACAGACTTTGTATTTGTTTGATTAAGGTCGTTCATTTAATTGTCACTAGCAAATCTAACCTTAAAACTGAATGTGTATTGTGTTTATATTGCCTAAATAATGTCAAAAAAATTGTGAAGCGAAAACAAATAGGAACGAATCGTATTTAATATTTTATTGACTACTTGGAAATTTAAAAAAAAGAAATAAGTATTACAATACAAATTATGTGTTACTTTATGCTGTGAAATGTCGTCTAATAGAGAATCTGATAATAATATCAATTATAAATCAATAAGGTCGGTGTGTTTTCTGCAATAAACATACATATTATATGTATGCATAATACATACGATGTATCGGCATGCATAAATATCTAAATTTTATTCAGTTGAAATCTTTACACAAATAACTTTTTTATTTTAGTTGTGAAAACATCCCCGAGCTTTTTTTGGACAAGATTGTAGCAAAAAATCATTTTAGCAAATATGGAAAAATTAGTAAATTTATTTTAAGACCCAGACGTTTGCAATGTACAGTGGATTTCGAACAAGAAGAAGATGCGAAAGCTGCTCTAATGAATGGCGGCTTATTTAATGGATACGAATTTAGCATTAAATACACTGAAAATGGCATTCCGCAAGTTCGCAATACAGAAGAATGGGTTGATCCAGACATTCAGTCAGAGCTTGATGCTATGGGGAGTGTTTCGCAAAAGCAGTATCGGAATGTTGGTTTTGGCTCCCAATCTATGTATACAGGGAAAACTCAACAATCAATTTTGCGTTTGCCAAAACCTATTTTGAAAAACAAATCAAGTGTGAACTCAACGCAGACTACTACGAATTCTTTTAATAATGAAATACGTACTGCAGAATCAAATTTGCAAAATGTACCTTTAAAAAATGAATTGGAAAACATAATGCAAAAACAAGCTTTGAATTCCACAGAAAAGTACAACGTGCTAGAAGCTCGAGATAAGTATATTAGACTGACAATGTCTAAAACGATTGATCTGAAGAACGTCTCAAGTATGAAAGGTATTTGTCCAGATATGTGCCCAGAGAAAGAGAGGTATTTACGAGAAACAAGAGACCAAATATCAAGTTTCGAAATAGAAAAAGATGGTTCGATGAATCATAAAATTGCAATAAAAGAATATGCCCGTAGTAGCGCTGATCAAGAATCTCCCTTAGCACATGAACTACGTCCAGAACCAACACTAAAAATGACTATGACGTATTTATTACATCGCATAATGGATTTGTGTGACGACGATAACATTGGTGTTGGTGAATGGTTTCATTTTGTATGGGATCGCACCCGAAGTATAAGAAAAGATATAACCCAGCAGGAATTATGTAGTTTGGATGTTGTTGAACTTATTGAACAATGTGCACGATTTCATATTCATTGCGCTGCACGATTGATAGCAGAAGATCCTTCAGTTTTCGATCAGAAAATTAATACAGAAAACCTCACAAAATGCTTGCAAAGCTTGAAGTACATGTACCATGATCTAAGAATTAAAAATATTACATGCCCAAACGAACCAGAATTCAGATCTTATATCGTCCTTTTAAATTTAAATGATGCCAACTTCCTTTGGGAAGTTAAACAATTACCAGAGCAAATACGAAAATCTAGACAAATAAGAGAAGCCATTAATTTCTACTTGGCCGTCGAAAACAATAATTTTGTCAAATTTTTTAAGATGATAAGAAACACATCTTATATGAACTCATGTTTACTATTGCGTTATTTTAATCAAGTACGAAGTTCTGCTATTAGAACAATTATAAAGGCCTACACAAGCACCCGACAAAATATTATACAAATTCCTTTGAATTATTTGACTGATATCTTAGCGTTCGAGTCTGTAGATGATGCACTTATATTTTTTGATCATTATAAAATAGAATGCGATTATGAAAAAGTAACTTTGACAAAGAGTTGGAACTATATTCCCGATATGCCACCTCAATTAGATAGATGTTTAGAGGTACGTCTCAAATTATTTTGGATAAAAATAATTAACTTAATTAATTTGTAGATAGTCGAATCAAAACGCTCCATTTCAGTTGGGGAATCAATATGCGGTAAACCATTAGGTTCAACATTAATTTTTGAAAATCATGAGCCACATAATAGCTTCGATGAATACGGTTATTTAAAACAAAATGCATGGACAGCTGGTGATCAAAGCAGCAATAAAAAACATTTGGGGGATTCAAAAAACACATCTTCCGCTTGCGATATTGTCTTTAAAGTACCTATAAATTCTCCACCGATTTCTCCCAAACAGCACCAAAATCAACAAATTAAATCGATGTTCGGATTAACACAAAAAAAGAGTCAAAAAATATTTCCAGAAGATGATAATAAAATTTCTCAATCAACAAAATCATCTATTTTCGAAAGTAATAAACTGTCACCTGTTTCATCTGCTGCACCAATATTTGGCGCCCAAAATTCTACAGAATTCGTTGATAACACTTCATCGACTTTCATTTTCAATACCTCAACATTAAAATCGAATGAAACTAAAATGTTTAAGTCACCTGAGAAAATGATTGATTCACCAATACTTCCAAAGAGTAAGGAAACTCTGCCATCGATTTTTGGAAGCAAAACTACCCTAAAAGCTTCTACCCATGAAAAACAAAGTCATCCACTCTCTGCTTTATTTGAAAAAACTGAAAACGATGGAAGCTTGATTAATAATTTTCAAACCGGACAAAGTAAAAATCAAATGAACTCCCATCCTAAAATGTTTTCAGCTGTATTCGATACTGCAAAACCGTTTAAGTTAAATAATGAAACATTTAATAAATTTTCCAATATGGCTGATTACAATGAAAATTGTAACTTAACTGCAAATAACAATATTTTTCAAAACCAAGAATACAAACAAGATAATATGGCCGCTATAAATAAGAGAAATCGAAAGCGTAAGTCTGAAAATGACGAATATGTGTGCCAAGTTCAGACAGTTTTTTTAGAAGAGGAACCTCCTTTGAGTCCAGTATTCCAACCAGAAAAATTGTTCAAAAGGGTTGAACAAGAAGAAAGAAACGATATTAAAGAAATTGTAACTAAAGAAGACGATAGTAAAAGAAATATTATATTAGAAGAACAGAAGCTTAAAAAAGAGGAGGAAAAACGAATTTTAGCTCAAAAGCAAGCAATGATTGAAAAACACTCGGAAAATATTCTTTACCATATATTGGGAGAAGTTCTAGAAAGTTTTGTTCGGTCTATTATCGAAAATGTTTTATTGGATTTAAATAAGAACAAAGTTGTTGAGCTAACTGCTACAAAAATTCTAGAAGATATTTGTAATGAAATTATAAATGAATATCTAGAAGAAGAAGTTTCATTTGAATTGAAACACTTTTCTAAAAACCAAATGCTGCTTCGAAAATATTTTGTAAAATGGCGTAATTCCACCGTTAAATCCATTGAAAGAAGAAATTTGATTCAAAAAGCACAAAATTGGGCAATGCCAGAAAACATGGAAACAGTTGCGAATAAACTGGCGCATCCCACTCAAAAATTAAATCTCGAAATGATATACCGATATCGACTTGGAATTTCAAAAGTATTTGATCTCTCGTATGGTGACGGAGTAAGAAAAATAAACGTGATTTCTACTTTTACAAAGGAATTAGAAAAAGGTAGTCCAGTAGACAAAATTTACGGTAGAGTGAAATCTAGAAAATATTTCAAAATAGTGATATCTATACCGAATGATACTGATGAAATCAAAGGTTTTAGTTCACACGTTACTTCCTTTCTAAACAAATCAATTGAAAGATCAAAGCCACCAGATCCCAAAAAAGGTATACATGCCGTATTACTGTTGTAATCTCAAATTCAAATATTTTAAAATATTGCAAACTTTAAACCCTGTATCTAGTTAAAGTTACAAGCAAATATTATATTTAATTTTTAATTTATGTATTTTCAGGATTTTTATGTGAAGCCCATGGGAACATCGCAATGTGTGTTCAAATCATTTACGGACAACCAGAATTTAAGACAATAACAAAATGTGACCATTTAAATGGTCTAATATTTTTTCTGACATTGGAAAATTTATCGTGCTCACGGAAAAGACTGTTTAACTTATTCAAGAATGCGAAAATTAATGCAAGCGTACCAATATCACTCCTAGTGTACAAAAATTTAAAAAATTGCACCGATTATGAAATAGAAGATATTTTAGCTTTAGATGAACTACAGAAACTTGAAAAAATTTCAAATTTTAAAACTTTTAAATTTGATGATTACAATATTATCAATGCTTTAACAGAAGGTATAAAATACTTAGCGAAAAATATGAATCATCAAAATGATTTGGAAATGCAAAAATTTACATCTTTCTTGCAAGCAACAATTGGCGATGAGATTTGGAAACGTTTTTATGATTCTTGGTTGATTAATCCTACATTTCAATTATATTGCAATAAACCTGAAAATGTAATTAGGTTATATAACACAGCTATAGATAAATTAATAAACTTGTTTAAAGAAGACTTGAGTGCTTATGCAGAACTACCGCGAGAGCTAGTTGAGTTTGTTCCAAATATTGTTGCAGATATTCCAAAAGAAGTTGAGTATTTTCCAAACAATTGGCGGGAAGATAAGAGAAATATAAAATTTATAACTTTTCTACAAAAACTTAAATTAAAAGAGATTAAAGAAACATGGCCAACTGATATTAAAGAACTGGAAATTAAAATTTTGAATTATGCGAAAGAATGTCTTGCAATTTCAAAACCGTCGATCGAAATGGCCGGGTATAGTTCCATTAAAGCTCTACTTGAAGAGCTTAATAATCCTGAAGTAATAAACATAGAATTAGAACAACGTTACAAACAATTATCATGGTTGGAAGTTATTAGACCAATCGCCTTAAAATTACTATCACAAGTGTGGAAAACGTTGCAAAATTTAGTCCCAATCGAGGTTATATATAGAAAGGATAAATATCACAATTTTACTAAATTACCATGGTGGCTTACAGATTTACATTTAAAACAATTAAAAGTGGATTTAGGAAATGACGATTGGCCAAAGCATGAGGAACTAAATGAGAAATTACTTTCGTTCAGAGAAACACATAGCAAAAATGAAAACATAGATGATATATTAGACAGAGGGTATCAGCTCATTGAAAAAGCTACACAAAATATTCATAAATATCAGAGTTATTTGAATTCTACCAGAGAAATTTCTAAGGACTTAGATTTTTCTTTACATAAGATCGAATCAGAAAAATTAAAATCATTTCCAAATTTAAAAGATAGAACTTTAAAAATTGAAGATTTCAGTAAAAAATTTGAATCACACAAAAATTTGGAAATTGATGAAGTGCAGACAACTATTGATAAAGCGTTATCAGTAATCAAAAAATTCGAAACAGCTATGGATTCTAAGAGAAAGTTTAGTTGAAAAAATAGTTTAGTATTTGAATAATTTCCAACTCTTTGCATCTTAATATTTTCTTTGAAGTAACAAATAAAAGTTTATCAAAATTAAAAATGTAATTAGTTTAAACATATTTCTTGGTGATTTTGTTAAATAAATCTTGATCATTAATTAATAATGATTTGATGAAATCAATTAACAATGATTTGAAGAAAATTTTCATCAATTAATAATGATTTTAATTATGTAGGTATGTACATACATATGTGCATATATTCTTTTCATATTTTCAAATGTGATCGAATATTATTTGAATTAAAAGCTCGTTTTTCTACCAAAATATTTTATTTGTATAAAACATTAAATATCTTTAACTTTTTTATTTCTATTCCGATTTTTAACATTTGTTACTTCATAAAAGCAACTTCCAATTTTTTTTCTCTTTTGACTTCTTTCAATAGCTCTTTTCTCTTTGGAAGTTAATTTTTTCTTCTGATTTTTTAAATCTTCTACAATAAAATCTCCGCTTGCCGTTTTTTCCTTACTTAATTTTGATTTTTTGTGTAAGACCCTATCATTTTCTTCATCATATTCATCTTCCGAATAAAAATCACTAACCCCGTCTGAAGAATTTTCTTCGTCTAAATTTGGAACTTTTTTTCTCTTCTCTTTTCTTTTTTCAGTTATCTCCAAATCAATTTTTTCTAATTCTTTTATATCATTCGGTTCAAAATCTAACGTTACTTTAATTTTTGTAAAATCTTGCAATTGTTTTAATTCCTTAGCTCTTTGAACAGTTTCAACTTCTTTTGGAATTTCTGTATTATTTGATGCTATTTCTTTTTCAGCATTGTGAACAGTATTCGTTTTTGATATTGGTTTTTCAAAACCTTCAGGCGCCACATAAAATGGCAATTTCCCTCTTTGCCAGTCATTTAAAACCATTTTTGCTGATGCCGTTATATCTGGGTCACCTCCCTTTAAAAGTTTTCCAGTTTTTTTAGCTAATTGCTCAAGAAAATCGATATGAGAAGACCAATGATCAATTTTATAAGTTTTTTGAATGTATTCATTTCTAACCCTCTGTAAGACTGTTTCTACATAATCCTCAGGATCTGACACTAGTTCAACTCGCACGACACCTAAAATATTTTTTTAATAATGTTTTATAATGTTTTTTTTTTAAAAATCACCTTTCAAAACCTTTTCAACATCAGTTTCAGCCGAAGGGTACACAACACCTGGACAATCAATCAGAAATATTCTTTTCATTAAAGTAATATATTGCCATACTTTTGTTTCACCAGCGATTGGGGCAACATTGCAGACCTTCTTACTCCGCAATGCATTTATTATTGAAGATTTTCCAGTGTTGGGGTAACCGATAAAACCTACACTTATTTGTTTTTTATCCATGTGTAGTTTGCCAATTTGCCTTAATAAATTAATCAAAGCACCTTTGCCAAATGGATGCGTAAGTGAGGCGTGAAATGCTATGGTTGGGTACTCTGCACTTAGAATTGCAACCCATCTTTGTGTTACCCATGTAGGCACTAAATCAACCTTATTTAAGATAAAAAACAAGTGTTTATGAGGTTTTTCTTTTTTAAGAAAATTTTCAATGTAGGAAGATCTTGTTCCCATTGGATCTCTAGCATCTAGTACTTGAAGTAATACGTCAGATGAATCAACAACTTTATGTAGCTCGTTCCAGATACGTTTACTTTGCCCAGCACCAAATACCCAATCTCGCGGTGCATTCCTAACACCATCATCATTTTGTACAATATCAGTATCTTTAGAAATATCATATTTCTCAGCAGCCTCTTCGGCATGTTTTCTTAAGTCATCTAAATCCCGAACTTTTAAATTAACGCGTTTACGTTGTTTTTTTGGTCCAAAAACATTCTCATAACTCTCGGTATCTAACAAATGTACCCTTTTGTATTTAGCAGATTCTTGTAGAAGAGTGATTGGCAGATTTGTTGGTTTCATAATTACTTGATAGGGATCTTTAATAGCTTTTCCAATTTCTTCTTGAAACTTTTGTAGAGCATTTTGCGAAATAACTCTTGAATTACTAAACCATTTAGGAGTAGGTTCAACTCGAGCAACAGTTCCAGGTTTTAATCGCCCCTAGAAAGGGCTTAATTTTTGAAAAATATATATGTACATATTCCAGAAACTTGAAAATTTACCTGAAATGGAGCTGGACAAATAATCTTTCCTCTCTTATCTCTTTTGGCTTTGAAGTTTCTGTACATCTGCAATCGCTTTATTGTAGCTTGGCTCCTTGGATGAGCTACACCCTTTAAAGAGCTTTTCGGTCGGTCCGGATTCATTGAATGATGTGATCCTGACGAAAACCCTTCTTTACGAGGTTTCCCTGGAGTGCTTCGAACTTTCGGCATTTCTTATATATATTTTAATTTCTTTAAGCTATTTAATTATAGTATTATATATTTTGTTTACAAATTATTAGTTTATAAATAATTATTTATAAACTCTTATTATACCCAACTTAACACGTTTTCTTTGATTTACTTTTTCCTTTTGACATTTAAGTGAATTGTTATGTCAATTTTATTTGCCTTATTATTAGTAGCAAACCACGGCTGACAGAAATGCTTTGATTTTTTGAAATGTCAAGTTGAAAACACACCACGAACAATATTCCACGACGAAATTTCAAAATTCAAATAAAATACACATTAATATATTATACACGTGACTGCCAAGAACGAAGCGAAATTTCCGCTGCCTTTTTTTGACGTCTGTCTTCAAATGCTTACTATATGTAAAATACGGAACAATTGATTTTACATATTCGTAGTCAAATATTTTGTCACACTTATATTTTTGATACACTTTTATACACCTTGTGTATTAAAGATATTTTGTGACGGTATTAGATATATCACGTAATATTGGAACCAAGTTGAATATGTATGGACAGTATTAGATTTTTTTCTATCAATTTTCCATATGCCTAATACACATAATCAAAAACAACCTTTAAAAATATGAAGATACGAAAAAATATGAAAAATGAACAAAAATAAACATTTCTATAACAAGTTAGCTGTAATTCTAAAATTTATTATTCGAAAAAAGGCAATTATGGATCACCAGGTAGTTAGCATGAAAAATGCTATATTCCTCTAATTTACGTAAAATTCACATCTTTAGTCCATAGCAAAATTTTTTAACTCTAAAATTAATATGCTCTGCTTATCACATTCTCGGTTCAAACTTAATCTCGAGGAGAACCCAAATAGCAAAGTGTTTCATGTTTTTTGTTCGGCTGGACATATCACCCTGCTTCGGGTGTTCGGGAGTAACACCATATTATATTCTGTGTTATTTGTACAGTGCTCTATTCTAATTTAAAAATATTTTGACATAAAATTATTGGTTAGTGCATGTTCATTTATGTTGAAACAATCCGAATTCAGCCGTTAAACTTGTTATTGGTAGGACTGCACATAATATAATTTGCTTGATCTGTAAAGAAAAAAGCTCAGCAGTATAAATTATAAATATATAGCTATGTATGATTTCGTAGACAATTCCAAAAAAACTTATCGAATTTTTTTTTGTAAAATTATTCAGGTGAATTATACATTAACATAAATAATCTCTAAGCTCTTATTAAGTTGATAGTGTAGATTAAAACTTAAAGTCAAAACAACTGACCAAATATATTGAAGTGCTATTTTGTAAATGAAGAGATAAAGTGGGGTTCATTTTTGTTGATAAAACACTGCCAACGTGGAGGCAACGTATACATTGATTTAAATGTTTATTTAAAAATTTTGCTCAGTTTTAAACTTTAATCGTTAAAAAAAAATTAAATATGGTTGAATTAAGTAGCGGTCCGTATCAACATGGATTTCCCAATATTGTTTTTATTCCTGCTGCAATAATATTTATTGGATTATCAGGAGTTTTCGGCTATAAGTTGTATAAAATACTATTAGAAAGGCATCAAAAAATCAAAGTTGATGGAAAATCCAAGGTGAAAAAAACCAATAAGAAGTCTAAATGATTTTGTAGCACAAAATAAATTTAAACAATAATATTTAGGAATTTGTACAATTGTAATAAAGAAAAACCTTATGCATTCCAACTCAAATATGTCATGTATGTATGTAATACTAATATTGCATTTCCAAAAAACACGTTATCGTCAATATTAGATTTAAAATTAAGAAATTAAAATATTTCAAATTAATTAAAACAAAAAATTTATTTTAAACAGAGTTTATAAAAGAATTATAAATCAAGCTAATTGAATCACAAATATTTTTTTCTAGCAAATTTTTATTCACATTTTTATTTTTGTCAGAATAATGTTTTTTTTTTCAATTTTGTGTAAAATATGGACTAAAGATGTGATTAAATTATAAATTTATAATAGCCTAGCTATAGCTAATATAATTGTAACTAAATATCTGCTCTTATTATGTAACTATAGAAGTCATCATAAATTTATGAGGATATAATCACATTTTATATTTTAAGAATAGTTTAAGATTAATTTTTTTTATAAAAATAAAACATTTAAAAACATTTATTTTTACCATTGCTTTATTATCTTTTAATTAATTAGTTAAAATTGTATTTTTTAACTTTATCACATGAGCTACTAGATCATACAATTCCATGGTAGGTATGTAGATAGGTACCTATCTTGGATTGCTTGTTTTACATTAATTTTGGTTTATCAAACTTATAGTATATTTTCTATTAAGAATGCTTTAAAATTTCTAAATGTAAAATTTTATTTAATTTCAAAATTGGTATCAATTGTATTTTCATGTGCGTAAAATTTCAATTGTTTACGTAAGGTTCAGAATATGAAGAAATTGAACAATATATTCTTACGTCGTTTTGCAAATTTTTTTAACCCATAAATTTGTTTAGACAGACTGTGCGCATACTAAAAATTTATGCAAGTTGACTTTTATTTAAGTTTAAATTATTCTGCAGTAATTTTGTAAAAGTAACTTTTTTAAATAAAACAAATTTACGCTTTACTTTTTCCAAAAGAGCTTCAATTTGGGTTGCAAACCTCTAGTGTCTACACAATAAAAAAAACACCTGTGTAGCATTCTAAATTAATACTTTATTTTACTTAATAAGTAATTTTATATTACTACTTTAGATGCAACTTTAGAACGCGCACTAGTAAAAATCTCTAAATATATGTGTTCTTCCAACATTTGAACGCTTCAATAAATTTCAAAAATTTTTGATAAAAGCTGAAATAAAAATACATGATTTTGTAATATGCTTATAATTTTTAATTTTTAACTAAAATTGCAAAAAAAAAAAAAAAAAAAAAAAAGACAGATATTTCACTACTTAATTTTACTACAAAAGTTTACTTTTTTCAAATAGAGGAAATTACAAGTTTTTGGATTCTAAAAGATTTTAATCGGATTACTTCAAAAATATCGAATTTTAAACAAAAAAAATAAATGTTAATAAATTACAATGCTAGGTGACAACCGCTCTCATTTTCACTATTTTAAATTTTTACATTAACAGTCTCGATAATAGCTAATTTATATTCTAATGCATGTTATGCTGAACTTTGCATTGTCTTAAAGCTTCATTAAATCCATCACACAATGTTAAATCTGATTGCCCCTGAGCACATTGTAAGAATTGTTGAATTTCCCATGCGCAAGGTCCTTTTTGCTCCGACAGCGGTTGATTGTAATTTTGTTGAGGAGCAGGAGCTGGTGCTGGTGCTGCGTGTTGAGCTTCACTAGATCCGCCACCACTAAATAAACCGGTAATACCGGCTCCAATTGTATGACCCTAAAAATAATATAGCATGACAATATAATTAAAAATTTTTTTAACATGACTTAAAATAAATACGCACAACTGCAGAACCAACAGCTACACCACCCGCCGTAGCCGCCATCTGTTTGAATAAGGATGGCTGCTGTGGAGCCATCATAGGAGCAGGAGCAGATGGTGGTGCGTGTGCTGGAACATTAGAAGCAGCAGCAACTGGAGCAGCCTTTTGTGGAGCGGATGGAGCCATTCTAAAATTAACGAAATAAACAAATTTAAATTAAAACATTTAAGTTGTGATAGTTTTTGAAATATACGTATTTGATTTTGAAAACATGCACAGACTAGGCACGGGTCAGTGCCAAATGTATCACGATTAGTTTCAATTTAGCAAAAAATATATTAATAGAAAAGGCAAATAGTAAGATAAACGAAGATAGGAAATTTGATCTATAATATGCAGATCAAAATAAATCAAATGAGTAATATTTAATTAGTTGTCAAAAAGGTTATTTATAATATAACTCGAAGCACTTAAAATGTGCAAAATGCAATAGAAAGAAGAGAATTAAAATGCAAAGAAAAAAACACTAGAATATTTCAAGCCTTTCATTGTATGAAGATGCTTTTCATTTATAATATTTTGGAACTGGAAATTTTTTGATAAATAAAAATCAAAGAAATTTTCTTTTAAGCTTATTCTGTTTCATAGATTTGTACATATGCATTTAAAATGAAAAGTATTGATAGAAATTTATATATGTATACATAATAATAATATGGTAAATCTATTTCATAAACAACGAATAACAATATTTAAAATAAACAAGTTAAAAATAAATTTGAGCGATTTATTTGCCGATTGTGAGTCACTTTATTTACTTATTCCTAAAAAATGCAATTCGCAAATAAGAATCGAATCGTAAATGCCTATTTATTTTTACTTTGGTACCTATATAATTCGCTTTCTTTTCTTTTAATGATTAAATTCGTTATAGGTACCTACCTACTTATTTTTTACCATGAATATGTTTTCATATTCTAGATATTTTTGGAGACCTATTCAATAAAAAAACTTCGAATTTAACTAATTTCAAAATACGGTAATCTACCTGGTAAATAGCTGTAAAATTTTTAGTGTAAGTATCTACTTACTCGTATCATGCTTATGTACACAATGAACATACAGGTTGGGAATTTATGTATCTTTGACTTTATTCCATTAGTGTATTGCTGTTTATTTGAAAATTCATGCTAATTTCTTCGTTCAAAACGAAATTCAAAAGCTGATTGAGTGAGTAGGTTTGTATTTGTTAGTGCAAAACTAAACAGCCATTTCTTTACGTATAACAAATGGTATTAAATCGGAATAAGTTACAACTAATGTTGATATTTATTTACAAACCATATAATATTTTGCACTTAGATAGGTTGGACTTACAAAAAAAATTATTCTGTGTAATTTTGTGTCTGTGAAAATTGAAGACATAAAATGCATATCGCACTAAACCTTCCTTATGGTCGTATGAATTTAAAATTTGTCCCCACATATTTTGTATATATTAATGTGAATTTCCCAGTTCCTAGATACATATATGTGTATTGGGGATATCAAATAATCAATATTACGTTTAATTTACTTACTATTATGCACATACATACATATATACATACGTACATGTGTTTTTGTAATAACGCATGTTTTCATGAAACATTTGAAATATTTTCTTGAATTTTCTGAACATTATTAGATTTTATATGAAAATTAATTTTATTGTTTTTATATTACAAAATTTACGCCACTATTTATAGAAATTTTACGCAGTCCAATATTTGCAACTTATTATGAAATTGTGAAGCAGCATTAAAATGAAGGGCAAAGGTTATCGGGTTTCGTCATCTTCTATCGTCATTATCTTATTAGATGTTATTTAAAATTAGCACTTAAATTCTGCAAATCAATTATATCTCGTTGAAATGAATCTTAAGCTTGAAAATTAGCTCAAAATGTGATACATTACATGAGTTTTATATATTAATTACGTAACATTTATGGATATTAGTTTTTAAGGTTAAAACTTTTCCAAAAAAAAAAAAAAAAACAATATGGAATCAATTTTACCTCCTCTGGGCTGGTGGTGGACTTGCAGAACGTCCTCGTCGTACCATTTTTCTTTATATTTTTTTTCCTTTGTTTAATTTATGTAAATTAGCGTTTAAATAAACAAAATATATTTTTCTTTCACTTTTATCGCACTTAATTTTCTACTGAATTTTCTTTTATAACTGACAAAATATTATAAGCTCTTTAGCTCGTATTTTTTTCATCAAACGTCAAATTCTGATTTTTCTTTGCTAGAATTTTCGATAACTAGGGTTGTCAAAAGATGAAAAATTTATTTTTTCGTGGGAATTTTATGGAAAGAACAAAATGTCACTAAACAGAGGGCTTGAAATGTAAATGAAAATTATATTGAAAATGTCAATATTAACTTGAAATTTCTTAACTTAAAAAATAATTTCATTATTGAAAACAAAAAAAAAAATACAAAATTTCTTTGAGAAGTAAATTGAACGTTTAAGTAGCAAAAAGTTTTTCAGCCATTCTCTTTTAGTAGAGTTTTGTATTTTTTTTTTTGATAACAAAAGATGAGCTGCTTCTCAAAGTTATCGGACTTAAACATTCACATTTAATTTCTAAGGGATTTGAATTTTTTTTATTTCCCGCAAATGCTATAAAATTGTATTCAAAGAAGACTTATATAAAAACACTTGTCATAACTTAAATGTTTGAAGAGATCATTTTTATTCTTTGAATGACATGTATAAATGCCGCCAATACTAATCTTTATAGGAAAGTAGTATTTGTCTGCCATCTATTTAGGAATGCAATAATATTAAATTTTTTAAACTGAGTTAGGTCTGGAAGAACATAGTGAACCGAGACTTTAAAAATGCAGTTAAACTCAAAACGTACACTGTATCTCCACTCCAAAAAGCATACGAAAAGCTCTTGACTTTATATCATATTCAGAAATGTTCTTAATACGTTTTCAGTATGCAGCAAAAATAAAGAACGCAGTGCGAAAATCGACACTGCTTTTATAATGCATACATAGAAATGTATATATTCTACGAAAAGTTGGCAGAGCAAGTTAGCACAAGTTTTTAACAAAATATATTTTTTTATTTATTTTTTGGTAGAAGTGCCATAAAACGCACTTTTTTAAAACTTGGGCACTGATTTTTTATACAGTTTTTTACACACATAATTTTATATACTGACGAAACATTATTTTATATTTTGTTTGAAAGAGAAAACAGAAAGAAAAAGTTCTCTTTAAAATTGAATTATAATAATTTTTAAACACGTCAAAATTGGAGGCTAAGAACAAAACGAGTATGTTTTTGTAATTTACTTTTTTGTTAATTGATTTACATATTGTATGTTAAAATTTTTAGAGAAATAACCAAAAACAAAACTGTAATAAAACTGTTATTATAAAACACTTATTTGACGGCGTTTCTGAAGTTGCGGTAGTTGAGACTAATTATGTTTTTGTTTGCACCACAGATTTTGTTGACAATTGTGTTTACACGACGACATTAGCTGCGTTTACACGACTCTTCTTCTTAATATTTCATAAAAGTTTGATGCTCTTTGCCGATAAAGCTTGTTGCTGTCTCATTGTCTAAAATTCATGTAAATAACAGAGCAAGGCGAACAAAAGAGCCTCATTCGTAAATAATCTAAAGGTTCGTATTGAATTTGGAAAAATTGACTTAATTGAAGTTTACTGTTGTATAAAATTTGCAGTTTCTTAGTGTTGAAGTCGTAGCAGTCTCTTTCAGTGTCCAGGTACTCAAGGCCTGCCATACTCCACGTGATATTTTTTTTTTTTTTTTTTTTTTTATTTCTCCTTTAATATATCGCAACTAAGTTAATTAAACCTATCTAGCAATTTATTTTTCACGTGTAGAGAGAGTGGGAGAGCGTCCAACGACGGTAACCCCGGATTTTATAATTATATTATGGCTGCAAGATCTAAAGGTCTTCTTCTTTTTAAGCGACGTGTTATTTTCCTCATTTCTATGTTTTCGTGTTGCGTTATTCTTTCGTTGTGGTTAATTGCATATTTCCTTATTTCTTGTTCAACTGTGTTGATTTTTAAGTCTCTGTGAATAGTGGAGTTTCTGACATACCAAGGAGCATCTACAATACATCGAAGCACCTTGTTCTGGATTGTCTGTATAATTTGGTAATTGCTTTTCTTAGTACATCCCCAAAGTTGGATACCATGAGTCCAAATTTTTTTAATAATTTGATTATATATTAAGAGCTTATTATGTAAGTTGAGCTCAGATTTCTTTCCGATTAACCAGTTAAATTTTCTTAGTTTCAAATTTATTTCCTCCTTCTTTTTCTTTACGTGGGTTTTCCAGCGTAATTTAGCATCTAGGGTCATTCCTAAATACTTTGCTTCATTAGCGTATGGCACTGCCTCATCATTAAGCATGATACTAACAGGGTTAATGGTTCTGTTTGTAAAATTTACGTTAACAGATTTAGATTCGTTAATTTTAATACGCCATTTTTTCATCCAAGAGTTGACTAAATTTAAGTTTACTTGTAGCTTGTTTGAACATTCCTCAATTGTCTTTCCCGTAGCTAAGATTGCCGTGTCATCTGCGAAAGTGGCTGTCATTGTTGAACTTATTTCTGGGATGTCTCTTGTGAAGAGGAGGTATAGCACAGGACCCAGCACACTACCTTATGGGACCCCAGCCTCAATGTTTCTAATATCTGAATATTCGTTATTGTGCTTAACTCTAAAAGTTCTACCGGTAAGATAGGATTCTAGAATCACACACATTTCGTTCGGCAGTACCTTATTCAATTTGCATATTAAACCTTTATGCCACACCTTATCAAAGGCCTGCGCCACATCTAGGAATACTGCTGAGCAAATTTCCTTATTTTCCAACGCTTTTTCTATGACATTAGTAATCCTGTGAACTTGATCAATTGTAGAGTGACTCGTTCTAAATCCAAACTGGTGGGCTGGTATTAAGTTTCTTTCTTGAATAATCGGCATAATGCGAGCCAACAGCATTTTTTCCAACAGCTTGGATATAATTGGCAGGAGTGAAATCGGTCTATAGGACTTCAGATCGGTAGGTGGCTTCCCTGGTTTAGGAATCATCATAATTTCTGCAACTTTCCATATTTCCGGAAAATATTTTAAGCGAATTACCGCATTGAACAGGAATAGCATTTTCTTAACAGCAATAGTTGGTAGTTCTTTTAATATTTTTGCGGTGATAAGGTCATACCCTGGAGCCTTCTTGTTATTGGTTTTCTTGATCTCGTTACGAATTTCAGATAAAGTTATTTTCCTAATGGTCATGTGATTGGAATTAGCAACTTGGTTTGCGTTTTCCAAGAAAGTCTGCCTGGGAAGAGGCTTGAAAATATTCTCTAGGTACTCAGCAAAGCAGCTAGCTTTGTCCATATCGGTTATAGCCCATGAGTTATCAGATTTCCTTATCGGTGGAGCTTGACTTATTGGTTTATTTGTACTCTTGACTGTTTTCCAGAGAGAGTAATCGTTCTTGTTATCTACAGATAGTTTACTTAATGTATTTGCAACTGTTTCATTTTTAATTTGTTTTAAAAGCTTTTTCAATTTATTGCACATGCGATTGAAATTCGTTTTATCAACTGGAGCTCTGGTAATCTGCCATCTTTTCCTAGCTTTTCTTTTTTCTTTTATTAGTTTCCTTACTTCTAGTGGATATATAAAATTATTATTGCTATTGGTTATCATGCGAGGATTAGTGTTATTCCAGACAGAATTTTGAATGTCAGTAACCAACTTGTTTGCTTCGATTTCTAATTGTTGAGCATTTCTCAGAGGAGTATTTAATTCGATGTTGGCTTGTAACTCATTTCTGACATTGTTCCAATTAGTTGATTTATTACATAGCTTAGGTGGTTCTTGTTTAGTAATTACGGATTCGCTTATGGTAAGTATCACAGCAGTATGATCTGAGCTTAAGTCAAGATTTTCTTTAACATGCATGTAGTTCCCAGAAATCCCTCTGGAGATAAAGAAATCTATTAGGTCTGGGGTTCTATTCTGATCTGCAGGCCAATACGTAGGTTTACCAGATGAGTGAAAATCGCAGTTCATTGTAGTCGCCGCTTCGTAAAGAGCTTTGCCTTTAGGCGAATTAACTCTCGAGCCCCATGCTGTGTTTTTGGCATTTAAATCTCCGCCCATTATAAAGTTTGCTCCCAGCTTACTGAAGAGCCATTTATAGTCTTCAACCTTCAGATTGAATTTAGGAGGACAGTAGATAGCTGACACTATGAATTCTTTATTTTTAAACATTATTGCAACCGATGAGACTTGCATGTGATTTTCTTCAATTTTAGGTACCTCGTAGTGACTAATATTATTCTTAATAATTATTGCAGTGCCTCCCTTGGCCTTATTTTCCGGATGCTGGGTGTGGTAACACGTAAATCCTCTTATATTTAAGTAGCTTTCCTTTGTAAAGTGCGTCTCAGATATTAAGCCTACATCAATTTTTTCGTCATGTAAAAATATTTCAAGTTCGTGAATGTGGTGTAAAAGGCCATTAGCATTCCATGTCATAATTCTGATTGATTTCGTCATTTCTTATTAATTCTAGAGTTTAATTTATTTTCTATCGAGCTAATTCTATTATAAATATTTATTTCAGATTTTTTCTGTTCGTCTAGTTTGTTGAGGATCAGGATTAGAGTGTTTTCAATGTTGGATGTATCATATCTTTGATATGTGCTCGCAGCCTGAGCATAAGTTCGCTTATCTTTTAGATTAGAATTGATGGCTTGATTAATCTTGTTAACATTATTATTTATGTTAGAGTTTTTATTAGAATTACTGGTATGAGCTTGTGGAAGACTATTTGCACTTGGAAGATTCCTTGATCTAGAAGCTAGGTCTCTCCTTTTCTGTAGGTCTTTGGCTATTTTACAGCCCCTATAGTTTGCTGGATGGCTGCCTCCACAGTTGGCGCATGACGCAGGAACATCACTTTTGCGTGGGCAGTTGTTAGAGAGATGGCTGTTACCACATTTGACGCATTTTGGATCCTTTTTGCAGAAGTTACCCGAATGATTGAATCCCTGGCATCGCTTACACTGAACTATAGCCTTACTTGTTTTCTTAACAGGTTCAATTTTAACTATAAGATTTAGTATTGACCTTATTTCGTAAATTTTTGTTATATTTTCACTTCTATCAAAAGTCAGCATGAAAAGAGGCAATTTCTTTTTCTGTAGAATAAGTTCTCCCCTTTCATCGACAACTCTTTCGTTTTTAATTATATTTACAGCGTCTACAATCTTAAGACCTTGACTGGTGATATCCTCAATGATTTCATTTCTATCACAACTCCAATGGAGACCCCTGGCCATAACTCTAAACGGTCTCTCATTTTTATCCTCGTAAGTAAACCACTCGATCTTTTCACTTTCAAGTTTTTTGACCAGTAGCCTATAGGATTCAGGGGTGTCTGGGTTAACTTTCCACACGTTTTGGTTTAGTGAAGTAATTTTATAGTTTTTTATATTCGAATCTAGCAACATTTTAACTTTATTATAATCTTCGATCCCAACAAGGTTTATAGGAGGTGGCTTCCTTTCCCTAATTTGCTGGAGATCATCCCTTTCACTGCTAGTAATACTAGCTCCATTATTAGTTTGGACTTTATTAGTATTACCCCCGTGGTTTTTATCATTTTCATTTCTACTAGTACTACCATTTCCTGAAACAATTATAGGACTTTCCTTAACAATGGTTGGTACATCTTTGTTGAGTTCTGGAGAGTTTTTGGCTTTTCTTTTTTTAGCTTTCCTTGTATTCATAGTATATTGATTTCCATCTGTTTCAAACCCTGTTAGATCACTACTTGAATCCGATGAGTCATTCCTTGCACGGTGAGTGTTGTTTTTTGCAAGTTGGGCTGATTTTAAAGCCATGATTTCCATTTTTAACTCTTTGTTTTCGTTACGCAACATCTTTATGATTGATTCTAAATCTTCGAGCTTTTTACGCAGCAGCACAGTTTCTTGATTCTGTTCACCGACATTTGGTGGAGTTCTTATGACTTTTGGTGGAGTTCTTGGAGTCTTATTACTTCCGGAGAAACTGGCAATTGAAGTAAACGTTGATTGTTGATTCAGCAATAGTTGGTCTCCCCCAGAATCCGTGAGACCGACCTCATTAGAGGGTGGATTTACCAATCTGATTGGCTTACCACCTGGGGTATTCAATCCATGTGTTTTTCCCATTGCATCTTCTATTTTACGTGTAACCCTCGCCAGGAGCCACGTGATATTAAAGCAAAAAATACATCAGCACTCTTTCTTTCTTTAACTTTAGAAAACAGTTGAATAGGTCAAACCAGTTGTTTGTAAAGAAAGACTTTTCCCTTCAGAAAATGACAAGGAATCGACTACATTAAATTAGTTTCATATGCTCATTACATACATACTATATATGAATGAAACTATTGCATACGTTTAGGATGACAAAAAAAAAATTAAAACATACTAGTTAATGGTTGAATAGGACGATTGAGAGAGTAAGTTAAGAAAAATATTTAATAAAAAATAATTTTTTAATGGCATAATTTTGATAACATACCGTTAACGTTGCGCATTTACAAAAATTTTTAAAAGCTTGTAGTTTTGGAAATATAAGGTGTCGAAAGTTTAAATTTCATAAGTTTCCGAGGGCGATAACAGAAGAGAGGATCGAGTTAAAAAACTTTTTTTTATAGAAATATTAGTATTTAAAAGCCACTAAAAAATTTGATAAAGAACGGATTTTAGACAACGGTTAATTTTAACGGTCATTTTGTTTTTTTAAATGTGTTTTTAAAGGAAATTTTCATTTCACTCGCCAAACACTAAAAGCAACTCATTTTAATTTTATTTCCTGTCGATCAGCTGATTTTTCACTAGGTTCGCTTATATGAATGGTTGTGGAGCGTATGAAGCACTTGAATTCCCGCTTTTAATTTCTAGAACGTTTTACCGCACTTAACACTTTACTAATGAACGCTTTAATTACTGGGTGAACGATTTTTTATTTTAACAATTTATTTGACAAGAATAGAATTAATTATGGTAGTACGATAAACTATCAATGAAATAGACGTTTTAAAAAAGCCTCTACGTTAAAAAGATGTTGTCAATTACATCAGCTTGTCGCGTAACCGACGAACATGTAAAACTGTCTTTAAAGGTAATAGCTCAAGGATTACCTCGGACAAAAACACAGTGACTTAAAAGATGTTCTCGTTGGGCCTATGATTAATTTGTTTACTTCGCTTAAGTTATTTTGCTTTGCTAATGAGCATATTTTTTGTAAAATTTTTGGATCGGTGGTACGTAACTACTCGTAGAACAGATTTTTTAGTTAATCGCCTGCAGATTACACTCTTTTGCACGTAAAATATTTAGTTGCATAAAAGTTCTGATTGTTTTTACAGCACAAGAGTAATAATTTATTTTGAAATTATTTTTGTATACAGAACAATAATAAAAGAATGAAAATTTTGTGCCATATTATTTCTTTGTAATATAATTATGTATAAAAATATATTAAATTCCCCATTGATTAGTTGACATTAATGTGAGGGCAACAACTGATTTCATGTAAAATTGAAGTCTTAACATTGGGCTTCATTTTGAAGAAAATCTGCAATGAAACGCTTTTCACCAAAATTCATGTCCTTTTCTACTGTAATTGCGATTTCATTTAAGAGTCTTTCACTTATTCTGTAGAAAAAAAGTATTTTATAGAAAAAGTTTATTAATTTAGAAAATAATCATAATTTTTTGAATGTTCAAAAAATGAAAGAATATAATTAACGTGTACATACTTTGTTACTATTTTCCATGGTTCTGACAAATTTTGATTGACATAAAAAGGATTTTCTGAAATATGTCTCACAAACTTCATTCGATTTTCAAATATACTTTCTAAATTTGAAATTTTTGTTTGATTTTCATTACAGTTCGATGCCAATTCTTCGATTCTTCTTATCGTTGTTCTTGTTTTATTATGTTGTTCTTCAATCGGATCCAATTTTTGATCGATTTCGTTTGTATGAAAAATAGGCTTCGAATCTAAATTTAAACCCGAATAAACTTCACGATTATTCTGTTTTTGGTTCGGGTTGCTTTCTTCATTATCAGCAGCCTTAATAATAGTGTACTGAACGTTCTTTCCATATAATAGTTGTTTTCTTTGAAATAGAAAAATACATTTTAATTGTCATTTAGAAGATTTTTAAAGTTGTTAGAAAATTTTCAAAAGTATTTCAAAATTATTATCATTATAAACCCTTATTATGAAAGGCTATTTGATGGAGCGAAGATTTTGTATAACGAAAATCTCTGGACAAAGAAACTTTTCTCTATATTACAACATTTTTACATTTCAAACAAAATGATTTTTATTTTGACTTCAGTATAGTACTGTTACTTGTGAAAATTTAAGTCAAGTTTCAACAGTAAGATTTTGTATTCTTAATCTGTAATAAATTAATGTTTTTTTCCTTTTAGTTGCTCTGTTTGGAAATTGTTCAGAAAATTATAATTAGTTTCAATATTAATTTAGTTTATGTAATAATTTTAATAACTCATGTATTTTAAGATTTAACTCTATAATAATATAATAATATAAATTTATTTATATATGTAATTATATGTATATTAATAAGTAATTTATTAAATTGTGTGTGTTTTGTACATTACACCTTCAAAAAATTTTATCAAACTTTTGATATATTTAAAGCCGTAAACGCCGGTCGTATATTTTGTTATTTCAAAGTTATTTAATAGGTGACTAAATTATTTGTTATATTTTGTCAGTTTATTTTAACCCAAAAAGTTCTTATCGATAACGATTGTTACAATTGACAAAAATTTACATTTATTGTAAGTGTCCAAAATTGGCTTTGTAACTAACGAAGTGGGACTAATATTTTGACAATTGATTTGAAGATATTTATCTTACAGTAAAAATAGTATTTAAACAATTTTACTTTTTCCTTCAGCATTTCTGGGTGCTACATTGCATATGCAACATTTAATTAAACTTATTAAAAAAATCATTAATTTAAAAAAATCATTAATAAAATCATAAATAAATGCATCATATTTTGAAAAAATGTGCTTTTATTAAATTCATTTTGCCTGTCTGTTCATGACAGAAAATGAAAATTTGGTTTTAGTTCCTGGGTTAAATGCGTTTTTCAATTAAACTATTTCTGGACATAAATTAGCTTTTCAATTAAATTGTTTAATGGAAATGTATCTGTACTTTTTTATACAACATGTCTTTCACAATTTTTTTTGAATTATATTACAGAAAAGCTATAATAAAGAACTTATAAGCTTGATAAATTTACGATTCATTATTACAAACCTAACAGAGGATTATATACCATATCCCCCAATTATATTTCACATTAAGTATTTTCATTAATTTAGGCAACAATAAGTAAACACCAGCATAGTACGAGTATAATTTTACTTCAGTATAATAATTAAAAAAAAAATTAATGTATTAAATTATGTGAAATATAAAAATTTTTCGCTAATTTTACAATTTTTAATTTTTGTTTAATATTTAAAAAAAAATTTATAATTCGGAGTTTCCAATTAAAGAAAAAATCTGAAGTATAGTATAATCTGACCGACCAATATTTCTTTTATAATAATTAAATACACTCACATTTAGTGTGTCGTGAAAAATGGTGAAAATGTTTGGTATAAACTTACATTTAACATTAATATTGGAAGTCTCGAAAGTTGACTGTTACTCGGATTAACAAATAAAATGTTTGTGTAAATTTTCATTTTGGTAAGGAAGTGTCGTTTATCGGGAAGAACGATAGAAAGACTGACAAACGGACGAATTGACAGCATAACATGTCGCTTAAAATATTTTACTCCATTTCTCTAAAATTGTGTGTTAAAAATTCAACATATGAAATTAGGTGCGAACACAATACTTGTCCTATTTTAAGCAATAAGCTTAATAAAAATGTATGAAAAGGGAAACAATATATAAATTATTTCGGTATCTTCTTAAAATAAAAACTAATCGCAAACTAATTTTTTGTTTATCTTTGAGTAGTGCGATTATTGATCAAACAAAATAAAGTCAAAAATGTATTTTATACAGAATGATGTCATTGTTTTTATTATTATATATTATGTAGGTATAAGTAATCATGTTTAAAGATTTTTAAATTTAATTTACAATATAATTGTAAAAGGTTTACAATATATTCTCGTCATTGTGTCTTAAGAACTTTATATTTTCTGATTTAATAAATTAGAGAGAGAATTGTTGGCTTAAATACACAGCCAGAAATATCAATATCGATAAAGAAAACCTGTCGTGCTATGAGTTTTAGTTTAGCAAAATATTTATCGTAAAATGAAAAAACAATCGTATATTTCAGAAGCTTCAAATACTGACCGTTAGTAGCCGTTCTGAAATATCATTGGTCAATAACCAATGATATTTCAAGAAACTTTCCGTTTCCCTTTATAATATAAAGGGCAAAAATAAAAATTGAATTTTTTTTCTTTTTAAAATAAATTCTAAATGAATAATTACTAATTTTTAAGTGATAATCACAAAATAATTTATGAAGAAAGTTCAAAGATCTTTTATTTCAGAATAATTTGTAAAAATTTATGAATTAAATAAGTGGTGTATGATGTCACGATTTATTTAATTGGTTTCACCTACATATTACTCGTATATATGTAGGTATATAAATGTATCTGTTCATAAGTTATGTTAATTCATTATTTCAATTATGTGCGAAATGTGTATTATTATAAGTAATACGTTCTATTTTAAAGAGAAAGACACATTATTTCATCAATTTCCAACTCTTATTCAAGTGTCATACATGGGCCAACAATTATTTATCCTCTTTATTTATTGTTCTTTAATATATCAAATCTCTTACACAGTAAATTTCATGATTTTTTTAAGTATTTAATTAATTTAATTCTAAATATGGAAATTGAACACCTACAACGTCCATTTTATATAGTGTCACACGAGTGTGTCTTAATATACATATTCTTCGTGTTTATATGTACGCAAACATACTATACATGCAATTTAATGAATTTCCATTTGATATTTTTTCATATAAAATTTCACTAGAAACAGTAGGGAGGTGTTAAGTATCCAGAAAAATAAAAATCTCACAATCATTTTTTATTTGAAATTTCAAAAGGTAAAATTATTCAGATTTTATGTATATACAGATTTACATATATTTTTTCGTATATTTTTACTCGTTGAAAATTAATTTAAAAAAAACAAAAAATAATTTTGTCTACAGAATACTAAGGGTATTAATTTTGATGAAAATGTCATTTTATTTGGGTTAACACAAGATTGTGTCAAGATGTGCATTATCTGTTTACTTTATATGTGCCATAAAAGTAAAAAAATATTAAATTAAATAATTAAATTGCGCGATATTCCAATTTTACTTTTAAGTAAAATTGCAAAATAAAATAATTTTCTTTTCGCTGAATAAAATTCGGACTCTCTCGATTTAAATTTTAATTTAGTTTTTAATTTAAAAAAAAAATTATATTTAAAATTATATCAAAAATAGCAAACTAAAAAATTTTAGGTCATAAACTTTAAGAAATAAATCATTTTTTTTAATAGAATTTTAAATATAATTTGAGCTCATCAAAAAAAGTTATATTAAAACTGGGATGTGTGCTAATGTTCTACAATTCCAAAATTTTGTTCCAAAATAAGAAAGTCCCAAATTTATAAGTACATCAACAGGAGCATTTAACACTTACATAATTTTAAATTATAGTTAAGTTCCTTTAAAGTGTTTTTAACATTATAAAAACGCTCCGATAGCTAACCTCCGATCCTTTTTTATAAGTATAGAAATAATTCTTATCTATATAAAAATAGTTTTTTTTTAATATGTAAGTATGGATTAACTTTAATTGTAGTTTTAGCTTGAATATTGAGTAACTATACAAAACACATTACATACTAATGTTACATTGACGTTTTAAGGATTAAATAGCACCATAAGTCACCACAAGACGGCCAAGTTTATTAATAGTTAAATATCATATCAAATAAGAAATACAAAACACAATATAATTGTGTAAAATATGAAATTAAACAGTTAATAAAAGAACCAAAATGTTCTTTTGTCAGTTTGTATATAGGAAAACAAATAATTTCATGTGAAAACGGACAAAAATTTTTATAAAATTTAATTACTCTTAGAATAACTCAATATTCTTTTGACAATTATTTGACGTAGTATTTGTGTTGTTTCCTTTTTGGCACAATTCCAAAACAATTTCAGAGAAAATATGCTTATTACTTTTGCTTTGTTTATCCGATTTTCCGTTTGTCTGTATGTATTACCGAACTCTTTTACATTGTTAAATGAAAATACTTAACTTTGTACACTGATAGATTTTAATGAAAGTGTTATTTCTCTAGGATAATTTATTCTTCTATTCCAACGTCTTTTTTTGTAGGAAAGTTTGTAGAATGTAAATTTTCTGTACCCTATTTTTGCGTAACGAAAAGCCATAAAAATGCCCGTCCCCAATACAATACAAACTTTATAATATATAATATGTATATAGTATACATTTTCCGAAAATAAATATGTAAACAAATTGAATTGGTTTTTGAAATCCTAAAGCTATATAGACCTTAATTTATATGTGTAACAACAAGATCTGGACGAAAAAATGTTGAGGTGAAATGTGCCGTTTTACAAACCATTGGTTTGACTGATAAAATTTTTTAATATAAAATTTCGGTTAATAATAACAAGAATATTGTAAAATTAACATGAATTAATAATTTTCTTTAAATATCCAACTGCTCAAAAATAATGGCTAATATTTTTTGAAATTTGTCATTATCATTCTCTGTTATTTATAATATTGTTTTAAAATTATGGCTAATTTTACTATAAATTGCAAAATACTTTCCAATATATGAATTTTTTTCTTGTTATTAATAATAGATAATTGTATATACAAAAATAGTACGAACATAAAACACAAATTTATTAAAGATTCCGTGTTTATTTTTATTTTACCTTTAAAACTTCCAGCACTTCCAATACCACTTAGTATGCCCCCAATACCGCTGATACTTTTAGAATAGTATTTTCTAATACAAATTAATTAAAGCAGGAGTTTTTGAATTAATATTGTTGTTTTAATCGTTCTCACGTGTTCTATAGAAAACGACTAGATCGATGTATATGTTCAAATAAAATTTTTAGAGGCAAACAATAAAGAATTGCATGAAGAGACACATTCTGTTTTCAAAAAAGGGATAGAAGAGATAGAAAAAAAAGTAATGATGGCAATAAAGTAGAAGAGTTACACATCTGCTGTTCTTTCGGTGAATTGAGATATTAGTAAAAGCTTGGTTGTATGTACAGAGTTTCTATTCTATAACAATGTTGTTATAAAATAAGTATTGAGCATTATAAGAAGTAATTGGCTTATACAGTTTCAAGAAGGAATGTTTAAGGAATTACCGTGACTTCAATAATGCGCTTACGACGTAAATTTTACAAGGTATCAAATTCCAAAAAGTTTAGTAAAAGCACTTGACATTGTACACTTTTCCTAAATGCGTTTTGTACGTAGTGGAGACTTAAAATAAAAGTAAATCGGGTATCGAAAAGAAAGCACGCTTTTCTTATACCTTGTCATATAAATGTTGCCATAAATAACCAATTAACTAAATTAGCATTTATTTTCAGCAATAAAGTGCTAGTTACTAAGTTTTTCTCCTAAAATGCAATATTTTTAATGACTTGGTAACGTTTGTTAAAAATTAACATTTGCACAGAGCTTTAAATTGAACTTTTCAAACAAATGTCAAATAATATAATAATATTGTAAAAATTGTATTCCAAAATGTACGAAAAGCTTTAGCAGTTTTTTTACAATGTAAAGGTACTGAAAGCTTTGAGACGGTACTACAAGCGTATTAATACCGTACCTAAATCTTTTTTACAGCATTATTGAAGTCACGGTTATTTTGCAAAAATTGTGAATTTGTCAAAGGCGAATAAATTGCTCTGAAACTCAAAATTTTTTGCATTAAATTAGGCTAAATAATCGAAATTTAAGTTTGAACTATAATTACCGACCGTATTCTGTATACAATAGGTAGGTGATGTGATGGAAGCAAATTTTGCATATCGAGTTTTCGATAAGAATACACTTCTCCATAGTAAGGAAGTGTAAATAAACTATTTTTAGCAACCTGTCGGTCTATCGGTCTGCCGGTCTGTGTATGCACGCGTGTATCCCAAGTTCGACTGAACCGATTTTGATGAAATTTTATATGTAAGTTTACTTCGACCATGGCACGGATTGATCTACTCTTGGAATATATCAGGCCTCGGGAACTGCACTTTTTAGCGGGCCTGTTTCACATTTTTGACCATTTTGAAGAAAATATTCAACCGATTTACTTGAAATTTCATGTATAAGCTTCGCTCGATCGTCCGCAAAACCTCCTAATTTTTGGAAGAAATCAGGCGTCAGCAACTGGACGTTTACTACGGGCCAAATATACCTTTTTTGCGTATATAAAGAGTATATTTAAATTCTTTGTATTAAAACAATGAACATATAAATTTTTTGGAAAGATCAGGGCTCGAAAACTGATCTGCGGGCCGATTTTACATTTTTCACCATATCTACGGAACGAATTGATGGAATTTCTTGAAATTTGGTATTTGAGTTCTGGTTGTTACCGAACTAGCTGGCGAGCATTTCAGGGAATTCGGGTAGCACAAAGCGAAACCATATGATCTACTATAAGCCATATTTACATTTTTCAAGGTATGTTAACTATAAGCTTACTAATGCCCTAAAAATTGGAAAGAAGTATTTAAGAGACATTTTTATAACATTCTGTAACACTTTCACTTAACTAGACAATACATATTACGGTCGGTTATGTGCTTACCACATCAGTTTTTTTTGTTATTGTATGTTCCTTTTAGCTCAAAAATATTATGCATTTTCTGTTTACTCGAAATGGATAAAATTTTTTTTTCTAATTAAGTCTGTAAAGTTAACGGTTTCCAAGAATCGTGAATTTTCATAGAAAAAAGAAAATTTCACAAAATTTCTATTTGCTTAAATCTATTTAGTATAACTCGCGTTCCAAGAAAGTAAAACTCTTGAACGAGTCTTTCAAAAGTGTAATAAAGGAATATTATTTGTATATCATGCCTTTTTTTGTATTTAATGTACCTACATACTTTCAAAATAAAGAGCATCATAATTTTAGAAAATTTCAATTTTTTTTTCGATTTTTTGTTCTTTTTTAGTTTACTTTACTATAATAATTTTATGAGACATTTCTTGAAAATTAAATAAACATTTTGCGGAATTTTTTCTTTTTATTTAGTTTGTAACTCAGTCTTTAAATTTTAAATTCAAGATTTTCAAAGTTTTAATAAAAATTATAAACCCAAAAATTCTCGCAGGCTTTACATTTATTAATTTTTTATAATTATCAATTAATATTGATGTGCACCTAAAATTGTCATTATATAAAATCATATTTTTAAGAACCGTTATTTTAATAAAATATTTGAGCTTCATTCATATTTTATGAATTGTTGAAGTAAAACAAATTTTAGTAAAAAATTCCTATTGAGTTATTGAAAAAGCCACTTAATAATTTTAAATTAAAAGAAAACATTAAATTTACCCTCGACATGTAAGATCGTTTTACAATTGCATAATTTTGGAGATTAAAAATAGTTAAATTTAACTTTCTAAAATGTCTTTAATTTTACATAATTTTTTGGAGCTGAAAAAACTTACTCGACTTATTGTATTGATTTATTAATTAACTCTTAAACTGCATCAAGTAACAAATTGACATAAACGGAAATAACAAAGATTTTTACAATATTAATTTTTAAATATATTAAATAGTAATTTAATACTATATATAGTACTATATATTGTATATACACACATAACACTAATATATATGTATGTATAATTGAAACGTAGAAAGAAAATAAAATACAAAAGAAAATGTACGAAACTTAATCCGGCAAAAATAATATACTCACATATAAGAAGCCTTTGCTGAATTCATATTGCCTGTAATGGCCGTATTATTTTGGTGGGAATTGTAATTGACACCTTCACTATTACGGGCTTCTTGTTTCCCTTGTGCTTTACAATGTTGTTGTTGAACTCTTTTTTCTATGGGAGTTGTCAGTGTGGAAACTGTAAAAATAAGTTATATACATAATCTATAACATCATAATTGAAATAATCTATAACATCATTATTACAAAAGATAGGTTAATACGATTCTATACTAATTTTCGATTATGTATAACATTTTCATTTACTGCCGGCTTCATTTTGTTGCCTAAATTTTTAATAACATTTATTTTAATTTACCAAAATTACCTATGTTTACATGACGAATTTTACGTCAATGATTGATATACGTTCCATTCTCTTTAGAAATAAGCTTTGAAAGGGAGTTGAAACGATGTTAATTGTCAACCATTAACGCAAAAGTCGTCTTGTAAACACAGCTATTGTTTGTTATTTGTTCCACTATTTTTTTATTTGAACTTATAACATCACTGTTACGATAATTTTTATTTTTATTTTCACTATTATAAATTGTTGAAACATTACTATCAGAAACTTGCATGAAAGATAAATTTATTGGAATAACATTATTATCAATGTTAATTTTCATAGTTTTTTCATGTTCTTCGGCAGTAACTACTTTTTTGTTACTATCATTATTATTTATACTTGGTAATAATTCATTTTTCTTTTCATAACTTTTGTTAAAATGACGTCATTAAGCTCTCTTTCTATAACAATTTCATCAACAGCTGGTTGTTGTACAGTTTTATTTTCTGGTTGCTTTTGCTGGTATTCTTCCTTCGCTACTTGCTTACGTTTTTGTTGTTGCAACTGTTCCTTTTGTTGGTGTAGTGATTGTTGTTTTGTTAGGTATACAACAAATACAACAATCACTACACCAACAAAAGGAACAAAAATATTACTGTTACAATGGTTGCTTATTTTATGTTTTTGTATTTATTGTTGTTGGGAAATTATTAATAAAAGCTTTACGATTTTTATGAATTTATGTATTTTCTTCAGTTATTTTCAGATCTTCAAGCTGAATACGTGGAATCGGATTTTAAGAATTTTTTATAATTTAATTTACTTGTTTGTGTCTTATGTTTTTATATTTTTTGTTTTTTGTTGTTGTTTGTTTTAATTTAAATATTTATTGTTAATAATAATATTTATATTGATTTATGTATTAAAATTAAAAAAAAATTACCTTTCAATTTTTTTGTTAGGGATAAACCCGTATTATTCAAATCAATATCGTGAGGTTCAGAATTTGATTTGTTGGACACTTCTTCAACAACTTGTAAAGACTAAAAATAAAAACAATAAAATAAATAAAATATTGAAAAAGTTAAAAACAAAAAAAAATTAACTCAGTAGAAAGTATATAAGAAGAATCAGACATACGTTAATTTTATAGGAAAAAGTTTTGAAAAATTAGAAAAGAAGAACAAATAAAATTTGAGTAAAAAAAACCTTGTGTGAAAAATTTTAGAAAAAAAAAGAGTATCGTAGACCGGTTATACGAAAAAAAAAATACAAACTTTTATATAAAGAGAAAATATATCTACATATATAAATACATTCATAAAGAATTTGTTAAGTAAATTTAGAAAACTCAATTATGGTAAGTTAAAAATTTTTAAAGTGATTTTGTTGACCTTTTACAAAAATTAAGATGATAAATAAATGCAACACAACACTTTTTATTTTTTTTCGTACTGTGTTTCATTATCTTGTGTCATATTATTCAATTGTTACTTTTTTTCCAAATTTAATTATGATAATTTAAATTTTGAATTTTGTGAAGATAAATAATTATGCATTGCTGTCAAGCATTCCCTATATTAAGCATTGCTGTTATTCTTAGTATCGCGTAGATTAAGATTGTTTACATTTCATGTGCCACATTTTTTAACAGCAGCATTTCATGAAATAAGGAAGGTATTGTTTTCATTTAATTTTTTTTTATTTTTTATAGAATTGCTATAATATTTGATGATCACGCGTTAAAACCATTTGTTCATGAATGCAAAACAAAAACTCCTTAGTGATAAAAAAAATTAAGAATTAAATGTAAACGATATTTTTACGAATTCTTTGGTTTTATTCAGTTTGCTTATATTCGAATCAACTAATGAAATTCTTCAGTGAACTAATGAACTATACAACTCTTAAGAAAAATAAATTTCTCTAAGTGTATCTATATATTTACATACTTGTATTAAAAATCTATCTATGTAGGTATATGTACATATATTTTCACAATTTTTTTGATTTCTACTGAAAAAAACTCTAATAAACTTTTCCATAGGTGCAGACTTATATTTCGCTTAAAAATGAAAAATTTGGCGGAAAATTTAAATGCCATGAAATTTTATGAAAAACCATTGATTAAAATAATGACTTAATTTGTTAATGAACACAGTCATTTTTGCATTTAAAAAAATTAGGCCAAGAACTTTTAAAATAATTTCAAAAATTACTGGTATATTAACTTCGAAATAGCCATTTGCTATTAATTTATTTAATTTTATAATATTTATTTAGACTTATGTACAATATTAAAAAAGTGCAAGATAATCGACTACAGGCTGTTCGCACCACTTTCTTTTTATTATTGAAAAGTAATAAAATTATTACCCTTTCTCCATATTTTAGTGGATTTTGTGATAATTCAAATGAATTGTATTGATATTGCGTTCCTGGGTACTTGATTTAAATATAATATTAAAAATTTACATACTTATACATATATAACGTACAATATAAAAATTGTAAATTATAATAAACGTTGAGAAATGTAGAATAAATATTTAATATAATATTTGCTTATGTATATGTACATATATATGCGTATTTACACAAATCTGTTTATATAAGAACAATAATAATATATAGGTTAACAAACGTTTAATCATATATATTATTATTCATTGTTTAATCATATACATATATATGTATATAAAATGTAAATATAGATATTTAAACATATATATACATATTTACGTAATGTGTATAACTCCATAAACATTAAATATTATGAATGTGTATGTTTTACCGGCATTTTTAAGATTTGAGTGATTTTTTTATTAGAATGTGCTTTCATTTTACTTGTTTTCGCTTCGATACTTATATAGGGAGCAAATTAAGATAGGAAAAAGAAATAAAGGAGAGAGAAAAAAAAACAAAAAATATTAAATAAGATGAATCATCTATCTCACATTTTTATAAACATATATGTATGTATGTACATAGGTATATTCTGATTCTGATATCATCATCGTCTTTAACTGGGATAATCGTCTATCAGAAAACAAGTTTAATGAAAATGCAACGAAAAAAACATGTAAAATTAAATTAACATTATAAAAAAAGAGTCAAACTAATCAACGTAGCAAAAATCAAGTCTTCGGACTTGGACAAAACTTTATTCGCTCTCGTTTTTTAACAACTTCTTTTTTATTTCAATTCGTTTGTGTTTCTTCGTAGTCCATATTGAAGAAAAATTTTTTATTTTAATAAAATTTAGAGAAATTTTAAGAGAAATGTTTTGCTAATCTGTTCTCTAAGCTCTACAACACAATAAAAATGTGTTGAAATTAAGTGTAAGTCTCACTTAATGTTTGTTTTATAAAATATAGTTGTGGCAAAAATATGCTTTCGTAAATAGGTACATACATATATATGATAATTATGTGTATGTATTTGTTGAATACGTAAGTATGTATCTAATATGCACACACAATGCACATATTCTATGATGAATTTATTTTTTAAAGAATTCAATATTAATTATCCTGATTAATATTATAGAATATTGGTTAAGTATATTTCTAAAATTTTTAGCACAGAAAATAAACAAAAACCATTAATATTTGTTAAAACAGTTACCAAATTAGTCAATTAAGGGTCTATGATGAATATGCTAAAAATCTATAATATTACGATACAGCAAGAACTACGTAAAGTAAAATGTAGTATTTTAAAAATTGAAAGAAAAGTAAAACTATATTCATATTAAGGGATATACTTGGTGTATTTTGTTGTATAATTATTTTATACACCAAAGTATTATACATATATCTGAATTATATAATAAGTATAAGTATAAAAAAAAATGAAGAAATATTAAAAAAAAACACTTATTATTACAAGAATGTTCCTAGCGTACATTTACATATGTATTGAGTAAATTCAAATATTTTCAAGTTCATGTAACTTAGTTTACTAAGTTTTAGGTGAACAAAACCCTACAATTGTTATAAAGTGCGTAAGTACTGAATTCAAGCTATATAAATTGTATCATAATCAGAACAATCCCTATATGAGCTGAAGGTTAGTTATAGAATAACAAAAGTTATTTGAGTTTATACGATTACATTTTTGAGATAAATTTTTAAATTTAAAAATTTTTTAAAAATAAATAAATTGTATAATTACAAATATATTTAGAACTTTATTATATTTTGGTTATTATATTTGTAGAAAACTACTTCGAAATTGTCAAAGTGCATTTCGTTTTCAATATGAAGCATATGTGAATTGAATAAAAGTTCCAACAACAACCAAATTACATTGCATAAAAATTAATGTATTTCGCTTAATTACATTGTAACATTTAATATAAAAAAAAAATAAAAAAACAATTATATTTTTACATATATAACATGTACATACAGATTTGTACATATATAGAGTAAATAACATATTTATGTAAATATTGTGTGGTGAGTTATAAAAACAATATTGAATAGACCTTGAAAATGATGTTTCTGGGAAAGTATTTACTTTATACGCATGTACATTAATAAATATGCTTTCTGCGTTAATTTTCGTTTTTTGGACAAATTTACTTCTAATATTTTTTTGTAATTTTCTAAAAATAAATTTATCCAATTGTTTAACAGTATATTTTTATAAATGATTGTAATATAAAAAATTTATATTTAAAAAAAATATTTATTTATAAACAAAAAATAATAAATTAATCATATGACAACGTTAATTATTTACAAATAATACAAAATCTTGTATATACGAGTATATCATATATACTCTCATTTTATTTACGTATAGATTTATATACGATAAATCTATACATAAATAAAATACTTAAAAACTAATATTGAATATATGAAACGTACTCGTATTTTGTAAAACGAACTTTAATTGAAAATATTATCAAATATAGGTTCAAATTATTGCTGTTCAGGCTCATAAGTAAAATGAAACCTAAAATCTTTTAAATATTGAATCAATGTTTTAAAACAACTGTAATGTACATAATGATCTATAATTAAATTCATAGCTTTTATCAATTTTAGTTTTTTGAATTAAAAAATTTGGCATCTTATAATCTAACACACAACCGACAAAACATTTACTCATATCGTATATTTCAAATATTTAAGCATTTCATCTTTCACTGCGTCTACTGAATGACCTTGAGCTAAGTAATGTAATTAAGCTCAATTTCTCTTCATTAAATATGATTTTTTTAATTCGATTTAATTATCTTATCTATACATAAATGTATAACTATTCGTGGAGATTTAAATACTGAAATTTATAATTGAAGAAGTTTTTTCAAAGCAACTTAAAGAGTATAGCATGGTTATAAATTCAAAATATACAATTAAAGAAAAAACTTTTTATTTAGGTAATCAAAATATCAAAATACTTTCGCTGACTTCAATGAAATGTAATTCAGGTCGTTCTTTATATACAATTTTTAATGAAATTTTTGAGAAACGCAACATAAATTCATTTAATAAAAGAACATTATACACAATAATGTGTATATATGTATCGTATATGTACGTGTGTACGTATATTAGAATAGATCTGAATTGTATTTTATGTCAAAATGTGGTGTCCAAATATACATTAAACGAAGAAATCATTACAACGATTTTAAAACAATTACATAATATGTTGTACATTATTTGAAAAATTTTTTTTTAAAGTTAATTTCATTGTGAACTAATTTTAGTTCAATGCTGTAGATATTGTTAATGGCGCATTCGTAATAACAGTAGCCTGATATATTGTTTTTAATTTCAATATCTTTTTTAAAAGTATAATATGAATCCTAAAAACAAGGCAAAACTTATAGATATTATTTAGAATAATGATGTATTTTTGTATATGTCTTTTTGCACTTTGCCAACAATTAAAAAAAATAAACCTATAAGTTTAAGACAGAGCGTTGAAATTTTATACACAAAAAACTTTCTTGGAAATGCATTTCTCTGTAAAAAAAATTTTTCGCTTAAATAATCTTCTCTCTCTTCCTTTCAATTTAGCTATGACTTTTGGAAGTGACTTAAATATTAATTGTGAATTTATATTGCATAACCCTTTATTATTGTGTATGTATTCTTCAAAAATACAATATAATTATATAATAATTATATTGTATTTTGAACAAAATATTTTTATAAAAATTTTATAATGAATTAGAAGTTGAGCCACCTGTTAAAGATTATATTACCTAATATTATTAAAATACCAAAAGATATTTTGTGTCTATCGATCAAACATCACGTATATGTACAATAATGTGTAGATATGTAGACATACACATGCATATCGGAAAATTTTATGACCTTTTCTATTTGTACA